TAATTAACACGACTTCTCAACGGCCGGGAAACATACGTCCCCGTCAATCAGCTGCTTGATCTAGCTACCATTACTACAAAATACTCAGCTCCGGTCCAGCTTACACATGACTGGTTCATGCATATGTACATCAGCCGATAAAGTCAACCGGCCGCATGACCGGTTAGTGAGCCCATTTTCTAAAAAAATCAGGGTCAGTGAACTACTGTTTGTTACTCCTTATTTGTGTATCATCGTGTCATCACCGACGCCCTGTGAGATTGTTTTTCGGTGCCACTGGGTTGTCAGGAGCTGAGTGAGCCAATTGAACGACGAACGGGGCAACTACCGGCCGGTGTAGTAACCTTCCAACGAAGCAAAAAGATCCAACAAAAAATCATTGCCAATAAGGGCTAGCTAGGAATGCTCGCCTATATAAGTGGCTTCCTGCTGGAACTACAGCAGCAGGCACTCTCCGCGCACTGATCACTCACCTCCCTCCTCTCTCTCTTTTATCTTAGTCACGACTCAAGAACTCGAGCTAGCTAGCTAGCTACCTTGAAACAATGGCGGCTGCTGGTGATGAGAAGCTGTACCTTCTGGTGGCGTGTTCTTTGCTGCTGCTCGCCGTGGGGTGCCAGGCTAGCCCTCTGCAGATTGGGTTCTACCACGACAGGTGCCCCCAGGCGGAGGCCATCGTCAAGGGCGTCATGATGGACGCCATCTCCCAGAACCCCGGCAATGGCGCTGCCATGATCCGCATGCTCTTCCACGACTGCTTCGTCGAGGTACACACTAGCCACTCACCGGAAGAAATAAATTGCATTGCAAACATGTATGTTTACTTTTATAATTGATTAATTTTGTTGTCTCGTCGGTGACCACCTTAGGGCTGTGACGCTTCGGTCCTCCTGGACCCGACCCCGTTCAGCCCAACGCCTGAGAAGCTCAGCGCGCCCAACAATCCCTCCCTGCGCGGCTTCGAGCTGATCGACGCCATCAAGGACGCCCTCGAGGCGGCCTGCCCGGGCGTCGTCTCCTGCGCCGACATCATCGCTTTCTCGGCCCGCGACGCGTCCTGCATCCTCAGCGCCGGCAAGGTGGACTTCGAGGTGCCGTCCGGCCGCCGCGACGGCACCTTCTCCAACGCCTCCGAGCCGGTCAAGTTCCTCGTCCCACCCACGTCCAACCTCAGCGACCT